CTCTTCACTAACATTCTCATCAAAATGTTTCTTTCTATGAATGACACGTCTTTCACGAAATGTAGGTTCAATCTCCATTTCAATTGCAACTTCTTTAGCTTCAATCATGGCCTCCAAAAATCCAGTTTCTCTATACTTTTCAAGAAATGTAATGAGTCCTTTTAATTGATGTATAGCAACATCAATATGCATGTCTTTAGCTTGAAATGTCTTGCTAACAAAGTTGACAGCAAAACAACAGATTGTGCCAGATAATCATACCAAGCAAAAATTCAAAATTCTCAATTTCAGATGTAACTAAGGATTGAGCTTCACACTTTGTATTGGGTTCATTAGATTCTTTTTCCAACTGAATTAAAGCATCTCTTATTTTTGGAGCTTGGTATTGTATAGCTTTAACACTTTCAATGCGAACTTTCCCAATGAGTTTGTGATAATGGCTCAAGTGTGAGACTTTTCACGTTGTCTTTGAAAAATTTTCACCTCTTTGTAGAAGATGAAAACAACACATATATGTGTTGTACCACTCTAAAGAAATAGATAGCTTTGGAACAAGAGTTAGCCATATCACAAAGGCAAGATTAAGACTCTGACACCCACATGGCGTGTAGAATGCTCTTGGATTTATTTCAAGTACTCTTTTTTGTACGCCTTTGTGTCTCCCTTTCATATTAGAGCCATTATCATATCATTGCCCTCTTATATCACCAATATTAAGTTGGAGTGTGTGCAATGCTTCTTTAAGTACATTAAAAAGTCCCAACCTTGATGTATCATCCACCTTCAAAAATTCTAAAAAGAATTCTCCTACCTTTACGGGACTAGTTGAAACATCTACACATCTTATCACAAGAGACATTTGTTCTTCATGACTAACATCTGGAGTACAATAAAAAATAATTGAAAAATATTTTGCTTTTTTGATTCTTGCCACAATCGTACTCTTGATCTCACTTGCTAACATCTGTATCAATTCATTTGGATTTTGTGATCAAGATAATGGTAATGAATTTCACTCTTTTGAATAAGTTGGATGTGCTCTTGCATTACTAGATCACATTTGGCAAGCATTTCAACTAAGTTTAAAAAGATTCCATTTCTTTTTTGATAAATCTTCTCATTGTCTCCACAAAAAGCTAAACTATTTTTAGCAAGAGTGATCACAATAGAAATTATCCTTAGCAACACTTGTCTCCAGTGTTCTCTCTCTTTATTGATTTGTTCTAGAGCACTTCTATCAATTGTTTCATTTTGCGTCAATCTACTTTCCAATTCAATTCATTTGCTCATGCAAATAAAGTGCTCATTGTTGTTTCATGACTTCTAAGCATGTTCTCCAGATTCTTCCAATCTTTCAATCCATCAGTAGCCAAATGAATTTTGTTCCCATCTTGCTTAAACAACTTACAACAAAAGCAAAATACTTTCTCTGAAGCATCTGAATATACTGGCCACTTCCTATTCTACTTCTCTCCATTGTGTAACTATCGCAAATAAAATGTAGAAGAAAAATGCCTATCTTTGTCTTCTGAGGGAAAATTCACACCATTACCTCTTATAGGACCTCTTTCAACTAATAAATCTCTTAAATTTTGATCAATCTTGTCCCAATTACTTGGGTCATAAATGTTTAGAGGTCCACATTCCACGTTGACATCTTCACTTTCATTAGATTCTACATTCCCCAAATCTTCATTCTTATTCTCATTCATATGTTCACTAGGTTCTTCAATCACCAAATCCTCATCCTCATTATTATTTACACATTGAGTAGGTTCTTCAATTACCTAATCTTCATCATCATTATCATTTGTACATTGATTAGTTTATTCAATTACCAAATTTTCATCAACCGAACTTGTAAATATTTACTTGTTTCTTGCTACCAAAATATTTATCAAGTATTCTCGATTGAGATTGAATTAATTGTTCTACTTTCAGCTTCTTCTCTCTCTTTTTATTTCCAGAATTATACTTCCAAGGAAACATGACTATAATCACAATTCAATCCACAAATCACAATCTACTAATTATCTCATATCTGATAGCAAATAAATAATAAAAAAACAATTTGATGAAGGGCAAAAAAATTAGAGAAAAATTATTCATTTAAAACTGATAAAGACCTAGGTAAAAAAAATTAGGACAAAATTATTTATTCCACTAAAATCTGATAAATAAAGAAAGTAAAAAAAAACTAGGGAAAATTTATTATTCCACTAAAATTTGATAAAAAAAGAAGGTAAAAAAAATTAGAATAAATTTATTTATTCTATTAAAAGATGATAGTAAGAGAGAGAGAAAAGACTTACTATGAGAGAGAGTGTGAGAGAGTGAGTGAGTCGCCGCCATGTCACGATTAATAATTTCCAATTTCTAGCCGGTACTCAATGCTCTACTTAGTGCTTCCTTCGTCACTTCGTGTGAGAGAGAGAGAGAGAGAGAGAGAGAGAGAGAGAGAGAGCGCTATGCTGAGTACACTCATTCATCACTCAGTGCTCTGTTCTGCTTAGTGCACTCATTTCTTCATCACTCAGTGCTCTGCTTAGTGTTTCCTATATTTTAATTTCATCAAAATGGGTTCAATTGGGTCAAACCACATCCACACTTATAAATAAATATGGATCCAACAAAATATTTTGAAGTCTTTTAAATTAGCCCTAAAACAATAAAAATAATTTGGATCTATTTAAATTTGTAATGTACTATACCATTTTACTAAATTTAGAACCCTATTTTGGATCAATTTATTGGGCCTAAGGTACAGACCTCAATGGCCTTAGCCCAAGGCTGGTACTGTCTACACCATCATCAACACAATGTCTCAGGAGCTCAAAGACATAGTGGTTCCAGCGAACCTCAGTTCCTTCGTCGCTGACTGACCACCACCACCACTACTATCCTGCCAATTGAATGTCTCTCTCTCTTTCTCTCTCTTTCTCCTCTTCCATCATCCAGATTTAGGGTTCCTCTTTCTTACATTTATGCATTATATATACAAGGGAGAAGGGATATAGGGGCCAAGGGGGTCACGTGCCCCCTTGACTTTTGCATTTTTTTTTTTTTTTTAAGGATTGTTTGTGCCTATATACAAAACATCCCATCCCACTTTGACCCCAAAAAAACTGGCACACGCACACAGTGGCGGAGGGAGGTAAGGCCAGGGGGTCATGTGCCCACTAGATTTTGGGATTTATTTATTTATTTTTAAAATTTTGCAAACATAAAGAAAATATTTTAAATCAAAAAAATTACAAAAATATTATTAAAATGAAATGTCAATGACATTGTAAAAATTATGATAACAATAACGGTTGTTTTA